CACAAGGGGATAGACAAGACCAAGGAAAACGTCTACAGAATAGATATACAAGATTGGAAAGAAAAGAGAAAAACCGATGGAAGAAATAAAGCATTTCGTAAGGGGCAGGAAAGATGTTCCGGACACATAATACGAATGCCTGACAACATGGTTGCTAAAAAGCTAACGACAGAGACACCTATAGGAAGAGAAAGCAGAGGCCGACCGCGAATTAGGTGATTAGATGGAGTTACCGACTTAGGGTTACCAGAGATCAGAAGATGGCAACACGTTGCCAGAAATAGAATAGAATGACAATTAATTATAGACAGGCCAGGATCCACAGAGGATTGTCGAGTTAAAGATAGTGATGAAGTGGAAACAAGAAATGGAAGCAATAGATAAAATAATAGCTATAAGTAACTTTAATGCATTTGATAGAGAATAAAGAGAATCTGAAAGAATAAATAGTATTATAGTCGAACAATTTTCAATTAAAGGTGACTAATCTACAAATTGAACTAAACAGTAGCGGCAACCATGTAAAATTTCAGCAGTAAAATCTTAAAGGGGTCATTTTTATTGTGTATGCTTCGCCCATGTAAATAAGTTAAAAACATAAGATAAATTTGCCCCCGTAAAACTATAAATTGGTGCGATTCACGAGTGTATAGTGAGACAAGTTCAGTGAACACTTTAAAATAACACCGGTAAACTTATCAATATTACGCTGGTCTATATATATTTACGTTCTTAGCAAGAATGGTAATGAGAGAAATATGATACTTTAGTTTATTCATTCAAAATTATGTATGTGCATAGGCGTGGTGTGTTGTCTTTCTTGAAAATATATTTATTAAAGAGACTTTATTATTAAATTTAAAATAGTTTTGAGGTAAGTAAAGTAAATTTGAGGAAAGTTTATTCTTTGTATAGTATTAACCCATTAACGGCCGCTCAATATACAAAGAAAAAGTTGACAATTAATTTATTAGGTTGGATTAAAAACATTACAATTTTTAATAAATAAACATATAAATTTTAAGGTGAAAATTTTCGAAACATTCGGGGTGTTAATGCATTCTACACCTTTTACGCAAATAAATAGTATTACAGAGGAAAAAACAGTTAAAATTTAATTTGATTTCGAAAATAGGTTTACGGATTTTAAATAGTATTACTTTTGCACATCCTACATTTTTGCACTATTGTCTCTTTTTGTAACGTGGCCAATATTGGCAAATCTTGTTTCATCTGGTAAAGCAAATTTAGATTGATGTCCATGTACTAAGTTTCGTCACCGCGGGGGAAATGAAAAGGGTCTAAACTCTTTCTATTGCCTCCGGGTGCTCTGTAGAGGGCTTCGAAAACATCAACGATAGCTCCTCTACTTAAGTCCATTTTCAGGGTATGGACTCGTAAATATTTTCTTCTGGTATCTTGCCTTGAAAAAGGCAAGATATTTCTTACATGACAAAGGTTAAGTCGAAATAAAAATACCAGGTTGCAGTAGAATCACACCTCAGCCACAGAGTATGGATAAAGCTAAAAACAGGAGCAGAGCCCCGAGAGCACTAAGCTCTCAGAGCGCCCGTGAGGGACTGACTTATTGACCTGAAAATCGCCTATTTTTATACTTTCTGAAGTAGCGATTTCCAGGTCAGGGAGGGGCCAACGGGAAAAATAAGGGGCGGGGCGATGCGTCTCGAACGTGAACTAGTCGCGTCCGAGAACAGTTTGACACTGATGTAGCTGTTGCTTCACTATTGTAAATTATAAATATAAATTTTTGTTAGCTTATGCTTTTTCTTATAATGTGCTTTCTCTTTATCCTCATCCTTTGACCAATGCAAATCAACTTGAAGCGGAGTGTAAACCAGATAATATACATATGCTTATAATTTTTTTTAAATCTATGATAATTATTTCAAAATTGTGAAGGTTATTCTGGGATGCATAAATATTTGTAAAATATAAAATGCTCTCAATTACTTTCTTATCAAAAAAGAGTGAAAAAACTTCAATGTATGACTTGCCTCCATGGTTGGCTTTTATATTGTTTAAATGTCAATCAGGCTGATGTTAAATTACTACTGAGCACGAATGTGTATCTGTTGTTACAACTTGAGACAAATTTGGATTTACTATTGTTGCCTGGTTTTTTATTGGGACCTTTTATCTGTGGTTCAAAGGAATATCAGAATCGTCAGAATTTCCAAGCACTTGTATTTCATATGTACCTACAATATCCGATTTTATTGATTCTTCACCAATAATATTATTATCAATGTCTTCTACATCAGAAACTTTCTAATCCAATCTCGGCGGCAAATAAACCACATTATGTTAGTCATCATTTTCATAATCTGAATCTTCTTCTAACAAAGCTATTAACTCTGTAGTAGTTAGTGCCATCTTCATTTCATATTTCAAGTATTTACTGAAATAAACAAATGCACTACTATATAAACGCATTCACATGATAATAGTTTAGCTTACTTTATTTTAATTTATATGAACTTTATAATATATTTTATATTTATATAAACAAATAAACACAAGGAAATTTTTAAATTAAGTTAAAAAAAAATAAATATAACGTTTACAGCACACAGCAATTCTATAAATAGAGAATGATGTGTAATTTCGAGACCGTATGTTAACATTTCAGATTGTTTTTAGTCTAATGAAAAAAATAAATATTTTCCAAAGTTTTCTGTTTTTTGAAGTTCTGTATGAGGTACTCTCTAATAATAATACAATTTTATTTTGCTAGACAACTATAAGATACCTGTTAAGACATATGATAATTTAATAATTATATCGGTCTTAGATTTAATTTTTACGTAATTACTTATGTGTTTAAATAAATAATAAATTTTTTTTGGTACGTCTCTGAAAAATTGATAAATGGAATATGATTTCGTTGAAAAGTTATCGTTAAGGTCTTCGTTAAGTGCGATGTTGCCAAAAAATCACCTTCAATTAAAAATTGTTTTAGTTATAGTTTGAGTTTTACCATTTTTTTATTAAATTGCTTATTAAACATCTTAGTCTCATAGATTTGTATGAGCTAGGTTATAAACTTAATTTTTAGGATTTTAAAAGGGTTTAAGTTAAAAAGAATAACTTAATGGATTAGTTAAATTATTGTTTTCACCAACACGACTGAATTTTCGCTTATGATCTGATTTTCAATGTTGCTTCTTAGTTATTATTTGAGAGCAATTAATAATAACATAAAGACGGTATTATAAAAAATAAATAAATAGATATTATTAAAAAGATTAGTACCATACGCCAAAGAAATAGTTAATGACTATATGTGTGGTTTCAGGCCTGGCAGATCGACTATTGATCAAATATTTACAATAAGACAAATGCTTGAAAAGTATTGGGAATGTAATCACGACGTGCATCAGATTTTTATAGACTTCAAATAGGCTTATGATTCAATTAATCGTGCAACATTATGGAAGGCAATGACCGAGCTCGGCATACCCAAGAAACTAGCTGTGGTAACACAAATGTGTGTAAGTAACTCTTTTGCACAAGTTAGAATAGAGGGAAAATATCAAATGCCTTCTGCGTAAATTCTGGACTGAGACAGGGAGATCCGTTGTCCCCATTGTTGTTTAACCTGGCCTTAGAATATGTCATGCGAAAAATATAACCAAAAATCAAACCAGACATAACTGCTCGGGGAGCAAAAATCATACTCGCCTTTGCCGTTGACGTAGACGCAGTAGCACAATCAACATTAGAAATTAAGGATATCTTCTCGAGCTTTGAAGAAGCTGCATTAATCGGTCTAAAGATAAATGAAGACAAAACAAAATACACGGTCGTCTCAAAACAAGCACGACGGCAAATAAGGCAAAACATTACTATAAATGATCACAACTTTGAAGTGGTTAAAGAATTTAAATATCTAGGAGCAACAATCACAAATGACAAAAAATTAGAGCGAAAAGTTGAAACGAAAAGAAAATCTAGTCAGATATAAAGGCCAATAGACTCAGATAGGCAGGATATTATGTGATACGCAGTAACGACAATCGCCTTATAAACAATGTGTTCTGGGAAAGGCCAGATGAAAGAAGGTCTGTAGGGCGGCCTAGAAAAAGGTGGAAAGATGCAGTCAGAGAAGATCTAGAGATGGGAGTGCGACAATGGGAATTACTGGCACAGCACCCACAAACATGGAAGGCAATAGTAAACGCGGCAAAGACTCACGAAGAGTTGTAGCGCCATTGATAATGATGATGATGATAAAGACGGTATTAGATTTAATTTCAATGCAGTGCATCCGCCAGCCACTTATATGTATTTCAACCTCACTAGGTATCATCAGAGCGCCATATGCAGTTTCGCCAAGTAGAAAATCTTAGGATTCCTAGTGTAATTATTTATAAGTTTCAGCTGGCATGTTCACTATTTCAAGCTTTGTAACTTTGATGCTTCAGGTATCCCTGGATGGCGAAAAATAATTTCAGGATAAGACCAATTTGCTTCTCCCAAAGCCTTAATTAATTTATTTCTCCATTGATTTTATATTTTCTTCTAACTGGAGCATATACAATCATCCCTTTTTAGTATTTGGGTGATATTTTTTTTGACCTATAATTTATGCATCAACTAGTATAGTTCCGAAGATTTTTTTGTGGCACTTTCATGATTTACTATTTTTATTGGGGGTTAACCACAATTTTGTTTTTAGTTTGTTTATATTGATGTTTACGTTACCATATTTGGTCAATTCCCAATAAAAATAATAAATTATATTAATTCTGTTTTTTCTTTTTGTGGCTGTGCGTCTTTTTTCATTACAAACCCGTAAATTATACTATTTTTGTTACAAAAATTTTAACTAAGCATTTTAAACTAAAATTGTGGTTTAGTCCACATAATATACACTATATTTTGATTATTTTACCTTGAGGTCCAGTGTTGTTAACTACTGAATGCTTTAATGATTGTTTAATACCTATAAAAAATTAATTAATCCAAAATTTACTCACACTGTGATGCTGTCGACATGGTCGGAAATTTTGTATACCATTTTCGTTATTTTTTTAATACCACTTTTGACTTAATTTTACTAAATCTTTGTTTCGATCACAGAAATGTTTAATAACACATCACCATTCAAAACAAAATTCGTAATCTAAAACTTGTTTTGCCGCTTATGAAATCGATGCACCGCGTCTCGCGTATCTGAGATAACTCCGGTAGTCAGTTCTTCAGTCATTTGCTACATATTCAACAAATTAGCTTAGTCCAGTGAAATTCAGCAGTACATCTCGAAGTGCTTCCACATGAACGCTGAATTTAGATGTATTGTTTTTCTAAAGTAATTATTTTGGTCAATTAGGCAAAAGTATTATCGCAAAAGTATGAAATGTAATGAGGTGTTTTGCTTAATTGCTAGATAATTTTAATAAGTTTTTTAATTATTGTTAGTATGTAAATGTCCTAGTATTATGGATAAGTATACATCAATTTTTTACACTGGAGGAGACAAAACTGATCATCGATACGGAGTAGCTTTTATCATAAGCAACACTATTAAAAAATCAGTGTTAGGTGTGATTGAAATCTCAGAAAGAATAATAATGCTAAAAATTCAAGCACGGAACTGTAATATTAATATGATCCAAGTTTACGCTCCCACTGCTGATAAGACCGAAGATGAGATCGAAAACTTTTATTTAGAATTGCACAGTACAATCAAGTTAACAAAATCTAGAGATATTACTTACATTTTAGGAGATTTTAATGCAAAAATTGGAGTAGGTACAGTTGAAAATATAGTTGGACAGTTCGGACTAGGAACTAGAAACGAGAGAGGAGAAAGGCTCATAGAATTCTGCCAAGAAAAGAATATGATAATTGCCAATACTTGGTTTCAGCTTCCTAAAAGAAGACTATATACATGGACGTCTCCTTTACATACAGAAAACCACATTGTCAGAAACCAGATAGACTTTATACTCGTAAATAGCAGATATAAAAACTCTATAACCTCAGTTAAAACTTATCCTGGAGCAGATGTTAACTCAGACCACAATCCGCTAGTGGCTGACGTGAAAATAAAATTAAAAAGAATTGAACTCAGAAAACAACAACCAAAAATTAACGTAAGAATGCTACAAAACGAAGAAATAAAAAACGAAATAAAAAATAATGTGAATGTTAATATGCAAAAAACACTAACTGACAACAAACAAATTATGGATGTAAATAAAAAGTGGTGTAATATAAAAAACACATTACTGAAACCAGCTCAAGAAAGTTTAATAGAACATAAATCAGGGGCTAAAAAACACTGGATGACAGAAGAAATACTATTACTGATGGAAGAAAGAAGGAAATATAAAGGAAAAGATCTACAGAAGTATAAAGAAATACAACGAATAATTAAGGAAAAAATCAAAACAGCTAAGGAAATCTATTTGATGAAGCAATGTAAAGAGATAGAAGAACTAGAAACAAAATATGATATGAGAAATATGCACAAAAAAATTAGAGAAGTGACTGGAATGGGTCGAAATACACAGCAAGGACACATAAAAGACAAAAAAGGAGTACTACTAGTAGATTTACCAGAGAAGTTAAAGCGATGGGAGGAGTACGTTAGAGAACTTTTCCAAGATGAAAGAGGTGAAATGCAGAAAATACAAGAATTAAATCAAATCATGAATTTGTTGCTTGTGTGAGTCCATTTCAAATAGGTAAAGAAATAATAAATCAGACTTACTCACAATCAATTTAATTTAACTATCCGACGACCGGTTTCGCTTTCTACAATATGCAAAGCATCTTCAGGTCTCGGTACAAAGTTAAACAAATGCTGAAATGATAAAAACCCATATTAGGGTGTTGTCTAATAAAGATAAACAAATTAGATGTTACAAATTACAATAATTATGCCAATATTACCTGTCTGTGGTTTTTATTTAAATGATTAAGTTGAAAAAGGTATAAATATTTTTAAAAAAGTTTTAAAAAAGTTAAAAGGACAAGGTAAGGCCCACAAGTTGTCATAAAATCTCTTCTATTGGAATAAATTAAGGAATGAGCAAATAAATAAATGAAATGAAATAAAATAAAATTACTTACATGCCGGTACTCTATTAATAGATGGATGGTAGAACATGTTTGAAACTACTGTATATTGTTGAATGGAGAACTCAATAGTATTATTGCAGTTGTTTGACAGTAAACGGGAAGTTCTTGAGGAGGTAGATTTGATCCAATGAATTTGAGATGTGTGTGAGATTGTTTGTTAAATGTAAGTGGTGTAATATATTATTGTGTTATTGAAAGTTATTTATACTTATTCTAGAGATATATTTTTGAAATGTGTGTTATTTATTGAGTAATTGTTTTATGAAGGTGACATTTATGACAATGAATAAGTGTAGATGTAAAATGTAAAATTTAAAAAACTACAAGTTTGGAAATAATTGCACACCCACACAATTTTACATCTACACTTATTCATTGTCATAAATGTCACCTTCATAAAACAATTACTCAATAAATAACACACATTTCAAAAATATATCTCTGGAATAAGTATAAATAACTTTCAATAACACAATAATATATTACACCACTTACATTTAACAAACAATCTCACACACATCTCAAATTCATTGGATCAAATCTACCTCCTCAAGAACTTCCCGTTTACTGTCAAACAACTGCAATAATAGTATTGAGTTCTCCATTCAACAATATACAGTAGTTTCAAACATGTTCTACCATCCATCTATTAATAGAGTACCGGCATGTAAGTAATTTTATTTTATTTTATTTCATTTATTTATTTGCTCATTCCTTAATTTATTCCAATAGAAGAGATTTTATGACAACTTGTGGGCATTTTATGACAAGTACATGCTGATTACAAAAAGGCCACAAAATATACATCACCTATTGACAATAAATGGTAACGTGATAGAACAAGTAGAAAAATATCAGTATTTGGGAACTTTGATCAATGAAACCAATGATCATACTGTAGAAATAAACAGACGAATAGAGATTGCCAGATCAGCACTTATACGAATGAAGCCACTCCTAACGTGCAAAAATCTAAATTTGGAGATCAGACTACGTACCATTCGCTGTTATATATTTTCAATATTATTATATGGAGCTGAGACTTGGAAATTAAAAAAAATGTAATTTAAAAAGAATCGAGGCCTTCGAACTCTGGTTATACCGCAGAGTATTGAAAATATCATGGACTGATAGAATTACAAATAAAGAAGTACTAGAGAGGGTTGGTAAAGAAACAGAACTAATCACCACTATACAAACCAGAAAACTGGAATACCTAGGCCACGTGATGAGGGGACCAAAATATGAAATTTTGAGACTGATAATACAGGGAAAGATTCAAGGAAGAAGATCTGTTGGCCGAAGGCAGAACTCATGGTTAAATAATCTAGGTGATTGGTACCAATGCAGATCGATTGATTTGTTTAGAGCAGCAAGTTCTAAAATAAAAATAGCCATTATGATTGCCAACCTCCGTAGGGAGACGGCACTCTAAGAAGAAGATACATCAATTATGTAACATTTAGTCTTTTTTGTCTTTTGCGTAGTACAATATCCTGGAGTTTAGAGAAATATCTTTCAAAAATATGGAGTTTAGACAAAATAATAATATAAGCCCAATCCTAACATATGGTTCAGAGACCTGGCCTCTAATAAAAAGTAATTAAAAATAATAGGATGTTTTGAAAAAAAAAGTACCAGATATCGTAAAACATATTGAGTATGACCGGATGGGACGTAAGAGCTTGGAAAAACAAAGCCATTAAAACACTCCCACGCTGCCTTGTTTCGGGTAACGGGTAGGAACTTCTTTGGAGTCCTTTGGATTCTATTCGATAGTCCTATTAAGAAAAGTGAATCAATCCCTGTCAGCCGCAGATTACAGGAGCTTCTTGACCTGGGACGCTAGTACCTGCTAAAGGTCCCTTGTCTAGGGTCACGGATAAAGTCCAGAACGTAATTAAAGGCGACGAAGAAATACCTTCCATACGGCGAAGATGGCGGTGTTGACATCTCTTGATTTTAGGGATAGTATAAGATCACAACCCGTGGCGTCTGATCCAGAGTGGGCGGCCGCCAAAAGCGTTGGAACCAGAATGGGCGGCTAAAACAAACACTCACCAGCACATCTAGCCAGCGTGGTGTTTAAAGGCTAAATACCCCCCACGAAAATGTCAGTTGAAAACATGCAAATACCTCAGGCAAGTAGGAAATTATTTTTGGAATCTTGCACAATTAGCAGTCTGTCCCATGGATTCTGAGTGGGGGACAAAACATTGACAACGACAGCAAAAAGTTACCCGAGTAAGACGACAATTTATATGGAAACATATATAATGCGTTCCCTACTATCTGATGGAAGACTTACTGAACTTGAGTGAGAACTAGAAATCATAAAGTGGGACATAGTCGATCTCAGCGAAGTCAGAAGACGTGGCAAAAACTTAATTAAACTAAAATCAGGACATAGTTTTTACCACGACAATAATTCCGTGGGAAAAATCGGCTTCATTATAAACAAACAAGTAATAGTCTCCAAACAAGCATAGTATCGCTAAAGAAATTTTCCACAAGAGTGATTTGTCTTATTCTCAAATTGAATACAAGGTATAATATAAAAATAATACAGGTTTATATACCAACAACAGATCATGATAAAGAAAAAGTGGATCTGTTATATGATGATATCGAAGCTGCTCTTAAAGACCATCAAGGACATTTTAATTTTATATGTGGTGATTTTAACACCAAAATAGCAATGAAATCCAACCCCATATAAACACCACTGGAAAACTTTGGCTTGGATGGTAAAAATGAACGTGGCGAAATACTGTTAAGGTTCATGCTACAACATGAACTATTCCAAATGAACAGTTTTTTTAAAAAGAAACCACAGAGAAGATGGACATGGCAAAGTCCAAATGTAAAAACTTAAAACGAAATAAAAACACTCTGTTAAAGACATCACGACAGATGTCATTAACAGATTTG